GGCTAAAAAGTCTATTTTATCTTTTTGTAATTATTTTAGCCAAAACCCTATATGCCAAACAAAGCCAGTTTTAACATATTTTCATATTGTCAGATTTATTTAGACTCTTCTTGTTCCACTCCCTAACAAATAAGGTATGTATATATTTTATAGTAGGTAATATTGCCCTTGTGCCCTACTTGCATGCATAAAGACTAGACCTAGAGTTCCCAAAAAAATTCGAAACAAAACACGTACTACAATTTGTCACTTTAATAACATTTTAGTAGAATCTGACTTGGTCTATGTTTGACTTTCATTTATACACAGCTAATTGCCACTTCATCACGCATGTATATTCACACAAACGCATATATATAGAACAATCCTCAAAGGCTTATCACACAAACACATATTTATGCTCTTATCATAACTACTTTTAACATCATCAAGTTATTCTTCAACACACCAAAGTTCTTCACTTACCATATCTTTTTGGTTCAAAAGCTCAATCAATTGGCCTCCAAACATATATACATATACATATCAATTTATATACAAGCAGTTGTGTTGTCGTGCATTCATCGATGACAAAGCCAACGATGACACTGCCATTGGAAGCTGTTAGTTTTTGAGAAGAGAAGAAAAATATAAAAAATGAAGAATAGAAATTGAATGAAATTAAAGAATAAAAAACAGGAAATGATAAAAGCTGATATGATGCAGCAAAGAGTAATAATCTTCATTCATACTGGTGCATTACATTTATAGTAAGAATATCTGAACTGAAAAGATAATGAATCCCAAAAATTATGGTAACAAACCAAGATTTCTGATAACACTAACAATATCCTAAAGAATAGGACTTATTGACTGGAAAAACAAATTCTAGTTATTGACTGAAACTAATCAAAGAAAAATTCAACGTAGCAGTCCTGAAGCAAATTATTAACACTCACCCTTGCTTTAGGCCCCAATTTTTTAAAGGCCTCTAAATTTTTTAAAACCTAGATGCTATAAATAAGACCTCATATTGAGTTTTATACACAAATCTATATGGGGGGAAAACAAAAAGAAGATTAGCCTATTAAAAAATGGACCAAAATTAACTATTCTAGTTAACTTTGATATATATACATATATATATGGCACCGATACTGTCACTTTTATCAATGCAATAATAGCGATAACAAAGTCTGAATCAAGTGTCATATTCACTTTAACCCACACCTTCGCCCAAATTTACATAGGGTTGTTTCAGTTTGAGTGATCACATGCTTTTCAAATAATTTCTTCCAATTTGACAAAGATAGAATAGGTCATCTTTGTGTACTGATGTTGTTTCCATGCTGGCACAAATTCATATTTCCCAATTTTTTAAGCTTTTCTGTTTTTTTATTGCATGCACAATGTAAGCATTTCTTTGATTAATTAAGACTTCTAATGACCTTATGAAGAGGTTTTTTTTTGGGTCTAGACCTTATGAAGAGTTAGATTTGTTAGTTCAGTTGTACTTTCCATTTAGTCGAATTTTAGTCATACGTAACATGATTTCTGGAATTTGCAATATAGAGAAATGTTATATTTGACTTGTCACCCGTTGTATTCTGGGCTCGGGTTTGTATGGTTTCGAATAGTTATTTATATCTTGTTTCCCTTGTCTTCCCTTTATTTTGCTTATCGGGTTGTGGTCATGCATTTGGAACAAGTTGGTTGCTTGTTTTCCCAAACCTTTGTTGCCCAGATTTTTGCTCCTCCACTCGAGCGGCCATTCTTGCACTTGAGTAGGCTTTGCAATTTTTGCTCATTCGCTCGAGCAGCACTTCTTGCGCTCGAGCGGGATTTAAAAACTCTCAGTACTTTGCACGTCTACAAAAGTACTGGAGGGCTGTTTTTCACGCTCGAGCGGCATTTCCTACGCTCGAGCGGGTGGGCGCTCGAGCGGCCTTTATTGTCACCTCCACATCTCAATTTAATCCATACAATGCCATTCGGCTACAACCCCAGCATATACATCACCCCGGCCCATTTACCTAAGCCTGAGGTGTTCATTCCAGTAAGCATGGACTTATGCATGATGGGTGCACCTGAACCCCAATCATCTCAAACCCGTGAACCCACTACATCTGAAATGGGGAGCATGATTGAAGATTTGTAAAGAACTGTGGCAGATTTAGCCTTTGGAATTTTGACTCCATCATCAACCATATCACATGCCAGAAATTTCACACCAAAAGGCTCCCCAATCTTGGGACAGGCTACATTGGAAGAAGGCCAATCCCTTGGCAAAGTGGAGGCAAATGGCAAGAACAAGGTAGGGGCAGGAATTGGTCCCTATGAACATCTTCAGTGGGCTGTCGAGGCTTTGAAGGCCGAAGGACTGAACAAACAGCAAGTGCTGGCAGTTGTCGCAAAAACTATGGAAGAGAGAACCGTATAGGGCTGTGTTGCTGCCGATCGCCGGTTGATTTGCTGCTGCCGATCGCCGGTTGCTATGCTGCTGCCGATCGCCGGCGTCTCGCCTCGCCGCCGCCGCTGCTGCTGTGCTGCTGCCGATCGCCGGCTGCTGCTAGCTAAGAAAGGAAGGGAAAATACGAAAGGAGATGTAACACAAATTTTGAATAGAAGTCCAAGTGTCCGTAGTGAAGCAAATTCTACGACCTTTCATCAACCTCCTCAATTTATCCCTCTCGTTGTTGAATATGTTTGTCACCTCTCTTGCTATGGTATGACGAGATGGGATTGGTGTGAATTTAGGAACGGCAACATTACAAAACCTTTTAAACCCAACTCCCTCCACAAATCGAAAAGGTAACTCATCAATAATCACCATCTCGGCAAGAGCCCTTTTACAAGCCTCAAAACTAAAACTTGTTGCCACAACCTCAACACCCTCTTCGGCATTTTGTTTTGATTTAAAACTCAATGTTTGTTGCCCATCTTTATCATTGTTTGGAAATTTTTTGCAATTAGGGGTATGACTTCTCAAATTACTAGTCCCATGAGTCCTAGAATCGGCCATATACTCTTTAAAACAATACTTACACACTGCTCTACGTTTCCCATCTTCTCCTATAACCTTATCAAAATGGTCCCAAACCGAGGATGGTGCTCTCCCACCACTACTCTCACTCTTTCTTTTGTTCGGGGGTTTAGGAGGCTTAGATTCAGATGGGGAAACATTAGTTTGAGAATTAGATGATTCTGGTGGAACAATAGGGCTTCCGGTAGATTCAAAACTAGCATTGTTATCTTTATCCATTCAAACTGGTAATAAAAAATTAAAAAAGTATGAGATAACAATTAAGTCATGGATGGTATTAATAATTGAATCTAAACCATAACAATTCTAGCAAAAGCATCAGCTATTTTCAACATGAAAATAAAATAAATACAATCTTATAAACTTGAGTCTTATAAAATAAACCATCCACATCTCATTCACCATTTTTGTTTTCAAATTTCTACTCAAGTTTATAAATCAAATAAATACAGTCTTATAAACCTTATTAATATTATGAATGTGACCTGCATGCTACCAATTTTAAATTCACAATATACAGATGAATTATGTATGTTATAGTTTTTTATTTGTCGAGAATGAGTATTCAATAATTTTCCTACTTTCATGGATTAATCATTATGGTTCTTTCTCCTATTTATAAAAATGATTTAGAATAATTCCAATGGTAAATGTAAAAATAATTTTGCTAAAGTGTAAAGAAAATATAACCAATTCTCATTTTTGGCTATTATCAATTTTTATTTTATTTTATGATATTGATTAGTTGTGTTGATGTGCAAAGATTAAAGTTGTGCTGGGATTTGCGAAAAAATAACAAAATAAAATAAAGTAAAGAAAAAAATTATATGAACAAAGGAATGGATACAAAATACAAACAAGATTTAAAGAATTTATTAATGAATTAAATTTAAAAAAAAAAAACTTATTCGATTACATGCATTAGGTGTCTGATTTTTCTCTTCCTAATAATTTTTTTGAAAAAAAAGAGATGGGTACCTAAGCTTCAACCGCAGCTTTGTGAATTCGTATATCCTTATAAACCTTATTAATCTATTCATCTTTTGAAAATAGGGGGAAAAAAAAATAGAATCCCAAATTAGAAAACAAAAAAGGTAATGGGAAAAAAAAAGATCAGGGAAGTGAGGTTTTATTTTGTTTCAGGACATGAAGGATTCTAGGAACAGCCTCAGAAGATACGATGCATCTTTAAAATTGTCATCCACATCTCTTTTTCATATTATTTTATTTTTGTTTGCAAAAACATAAAATACAAGTTTCAGATCCACATCTAAGTTTCAAAAATCTAATGAAAGCAGATCCACATCTAAGTTTCTGCAGATCCACAAATTTCAAAAATCTGGCACACCCAAGTTTCTGTAGATCCACATCTAATTTCAAAAATCGAATGAAAAAGAGACAGAGAGAGAGAGCGAACCGTATAGGGCTGTGTTGCTGCCGATCGCCGGTTGATTTGCTGCTGCCGATCGCCGGTTGCTGTGCTGCTGCCGATCGCCGGCTGCTGCTAGCTAAGAAGGGAAAATACAAAAGGGGGAGAGATGAGAGAAATAGACGGGCTGGGTGGGTTCAGGCTGCGGGTAGGGTAATAAATAAAATAAAGGTTTATTTTGTAATATATTATATATATATATAAATTATAATAATACGCGGGTCGCGGTTTGCGGTTCGGGTAGGGTCAGAACCGCAACCCGACCTGAACCCGATTTTTGGCAGAATTCTTGACCTGCACCCGCCCACCTACCTATATCGAAACCGCCCAAAAGGCTGCGGGTAGGGTAGGGTCGGGCGGTTTGTGCGGGTGGGTGGGTTCTGTGCCCAGCCCTAGTATTGGCATTCCAACCTCGACGCTTCCATGCGTCCGAGGAGCCAACCGTTGTAAGGCCGAAACTCTGCGTGGATCCCTTGTCCTGGCATCCTCCTTGCATCGTGCCTTTGCTTCGAGCACGGTTCGTAAGTCGGATGATCTGGGTAATTCCGTCTGTCTAGATCTGGTTTGGTGCGAATGCGAGGGCCAATACGTGCTTCCTTCTGTGTATGATCTTTCAGATCTCGTCCTCTCAGACCTGGAGTGACGAGTTCTGGAAGACCAGGATTGAGTATCGCCTGTCCTGAGGCTTCTGCTCTCTCCTTGCGAGGGTGTGGTATTCCTACTACGATTTTCTGAGTAGCGAGGGGGTGTCTTGTTTTTGCGCCCCTCTCCTGTCGCCACTTCTTTTTTCTTCATCTGGCGCTTCAAGGCCTCCATGTCCGCCGCCATCTTCTTTATTAATTCATCCTGCTCTTTCACGCGATCTTCCAGAGTTTGAGGATCAATCCTCCGTCTTTACTTGTCAGGACTAAGAGAATGAGATTGACGGGGGCTGTGAGTCCGCCTTCCCCTACTATCTCTCCTGGGGTTATGTCGCTGGGACTCCAAGTCCGCCATGGGAGGGACAGAAGGCAATCCTTCACGCTTTGCGCCTCTATCTGGAGTTAGCCCGTCGACGGCGGACTGCGGCAATTCTTTAATGTGCGCCATTGTTTGTAATAGAGGAGAAGCTTTTAGTCAAGAGGTTTTGTTCTGTCTGTATTTCCCACAGACGGCGCCAATTGTACGGGAAAGAAATATACTTTCTCGTATAATCCTGTTGACCAAGTCTGCGCTCCTCCGTACGTTGTCACGTTATCACCTGAAAACACAAACATGAGCTAGCCGGCGGGTGTGTGCCGAAAACCTCTCCGATGCCTAAGTCAGTAACCTTGACAACTAGACAAAACTATGTGTATTCAGAAAGCAAAGTTGTGTATTACCTCTCCCAAGGTGATGTTTGTGAGCTTTTATAGGTTTTTGCGTGGCACAATCCTAGTAGGACTTCTACTCTTCCAGGCAGAGTCCTCCTAGGATTCATACTCCTAAAAGATAATGCTTATCCTTCAACACCCCCCTCACTGCTTAAACCAAGTGAGATGGTTTTCACCATGGCCGAACTACAACATGACCAAAATAATACTGGCTATGCTGAGCCACAGTAGGCTGAACTATCCTTAGTTCGGTTCTTCCTTTTATTGCTCCTTATCTCGGTTCTCCCATGTCCAAATCATGGTGTGTCTAAACCGAGCGACCGAGTAGCAAGGTTCTGACCGATCTATCCACAATACGTCATGACCGGACTAACCCCCTGTGACCGGCCTAACTCTAAGTCACTTCCGGACCGGAGTAACATTATATTTATTTCGGGCCGGAGTAACTTTATCTCTCTTGGGCCGGAGTAACTTTATCTCTCTTGGGCCGGAGTAACTTTTCGGCCTTTTTACCCAGTCCTTCGTAATTTAGGCCATAAAGTCCATCTCATAGCTCGGCCCAATTTTCACCAAAATTACCCTCTCAACATATATATATATATACAAAACTTTCATATTCATCATCTTCAAGCTAGTTCATGCAATTACTCCCAAAATCCCTTTAATTCCATGGATTAGATGATACAAAATGCAAAGAAAAATACATACCAAGAGTTTAATTTTGGATTAGGAGATGAATCTCCATAGCTCTCTTCTTCTTCCACCCAAGCTTCTCTCTCTCCCTCTCTCTTTCTCTCACTACACTAAATTATACATACAAATCTGGTTACTCAGTACACCCACAAGATTGCTCAGCACACACACATCCACACAGATTTCTCTGCACACACCCAGATTCTCAGCACACCCACCAGAAAATAATCTCCTACACTCAACATCATTAAATGTCCTAATACATACCACACTATCAAATCTTGAATTATAAATAGGATACTTCTACTTTTATTTTATTTTATTCACTAATTAATTTGTCTAAGGCTTTAATTAATTCCTAATTTTTCTTTAAGTTAAATTAAATTATATTCACTCAAATTAAATTACTCCTCATCAAATTATGATCTCAATTACACTAAATTTAATTATATAAGTGTGAATTAGGCTTTAATTTCCTATCCAATAATTTAATTCTAGCATGTTAAAATTTACGAATCAGACAGGTTTATTTCTCATTTTAACCTATATGTTCTCAATAACACAATTCAATAAATCACATAACAATCAAAAACACTTAACAATACATAATCACATAATTAAAATTAAGCACGTAATCAATATATAATTAACTTACTTAATTAAGGTGGTGGTTGTCACAGGAAAGTTGGTTAAAAGTTAGTTTTTTGAATTTTTTGTTTTTTAGTGAGTAAAAAATATAAGAGGTGATATGACCTAAAATAGATTAAAAGTCAAACATTGATTTTTAACTATGTTGCCCAAATAGTGTTATGACGATCTTTTGTGATTGTTAATATATTAATGTATAATATATTAATGTATATAGAATACAATACAACTAATAGATAATATATTAATGTATATAGAATACAGCTAAGATAGGATTCAGCAGTCAGTCTACTTTCGGTTCCTTTTCATAATTATGTTTTATGACATGATGATGTTTGTAACACAGAAGCTCCTATATAATGGAGACTCTCTATATGGTTTCAGATATATTGAAATACAGATATTACTCTCTCAATATCCCTCTCTCAACTTATTTTACATGGTATCAGAGCCTCAAATATATAGCTCATTAACCAGAATTTTCTAGTAGTTATCTCTGTTTCATCACTGATCAGATCTTTTTTATTCTCAAAAATTTTCGCACTGCCTACCAACGTGCTCGAAATCTTCTCACGATTCTAACACCACCAACGGCATCCTCAGATCTGCTTTAATACGCCCTCACGCACCACATTTGTTGCCGACGCATCACCCACTTCGCCTCCGACATCTCACGCGTCACACGCACTCTTCAGTCGCTCGAGTCGTCTTATCATCGTCATCTCACGCACTACACGCCTCTACAGCCGCTTGAGCCATCTCTCCCAGTGTGCGTCACTCGCTCGCGCCGCTCTAGCCACTCGCATAAGCCACTTGCACACACAAGCCGTGCTGCTCTCACGTGCAAGCCGCTTGCACAACACCTTCGCCTTCCCTTCACCTTCGGCTCTAGTCGGTTCAACTCAAACCGGCTCAGTAACTTCCCTAAGCGAGTTCAGCCCTATTTTTTAACTTTTTTGGCCGGTTCCCCATTAATTTTGACCTTCTGAATTCACTGGTACCCTCGGTTTTTTCAGCTTCTACCTCAATCGTGTTGTTTTTCCTTCATGGATCGCCCGGACTCCTCTAACCACCATATTTCCGTTGCTTTTGATGGGACTAATTATGTCTTATGGGCACAAGCCATGTCTGGCTTCCTCAAAGGCAAAAAACTTTGGCGCATCATCACTGGGGATGTGTGCAAACCCATCCAAGAAACCGCGGAATCCCTTGCCAAATATGTCGACTAACTGGAGGAGTGGGATAATAAAAACTATCAGATCATCACTTGGCTTCGCAATACTTCTACTACATCTATCAGCCTTCAGTTTGGTCGGTTCCAACTTGACTCTGTTTCCACTTCGGCAAAAGCCATCAGGGATTTTTTAAAAGATCGTTATCAGACTACTGGCTTAGCTCACTAATATCAACTTCTGAGTCATCATCACAGTATGCGCCAAGATACAACTCAAACTATTAATGTTTTCCTCTCCCAAGTGTATTCTGTTTGGGATCAGCTCGATCTTTCTAAACTTGCATGGCTCCATACTGAGGATACTGCCTTGTTTACTACTTACCGTGACCAACAGCGCTTGGTTCAGTTTCTAATGGCTCTCACTCCCCATTTTGAGCCAGTGCGCGTGTAGACGTCCCCGAACGCCCCAGGAGGAACGAGCTCCCGTTCTGTTCATTTTGGGGTCACTACAGCTCAGGACTCTCAAATTTGTCACGGTTCTAAGTCTGAACCAAAGAGTCCAAATCCGGCAAATCGTTTTGAGAAAAATAGATTTTTGAAAGAAGTGCCAAACATGGACTGCTTTGCCAGATACAGAGTCGCCACCACTTAAATGTTTTTTTTTTAATGGGAAATTTAGGAAAACTCCTGACTCGGTGCCAAAGGCCACGTGTCCGTCATATCACAACAACAAATCTGCCTCGGCTCGGAGATTGGTACATTGGGGAAGGTCACTTCGTGAGCACCTCCCGCTCGCCCGATCAAGATCGGCCTTACTAACCATGCATATCTAATTTTTGAAAAACTTGTATGTCCCTATCCGTTATAGTCCTTAGCGTTACTATGTGATGCACACACGCATATAAGTATACGACTGGATCGTCAAATTGGAACAAAACATTTTCATGTTTGTATTTGAAAATGGTTATGTGTCTCCCGCAGGTAGGCTTAAGACGTGGATTGCCACCCTCAGCGTGGCCTTAGAAAAACATGATTTTTTGCCACTATCTAGTGGCTTAAACAACACAACATTTGATGAATTGTTCCAACCAAATTAACCCAACCCTCACCCACAGGTAATCCAGCAGTATATATCACATAAGAATTAGCCTCCAGTGTAGATGCTATTCATGGCAGTTCA